AGGGGTCCAATGTTGCCCCTGCTTTTCCTCCGGCTCCCCACATATCTGAAAAAGGACTTTTTATTGTCCTTGATGCTCAAAGCTAGCTGGAGTTCAGTTGCAGCCTTGGCTTTCCTGGTCTGCTCCCTACAAGACCAGACCAGCGCAGAATAATCATACACTAAAAATCAAACACCTACTATATTTTAATTTTATTACAAAAACTATTTTTGTCACGACTTGTGTTTGCGTTGTGTATATAGAAGTGATTGTGTAATAATGTAAAAATAAATTCTTAGTTTTGTATAGTGGAGGGGCAGGGTGTGGGTGTGTGATGTTTGTGGGGTGTGAGGGAGGGTGGGGAGATGTGGGGTCCGCCCCTGGCGCTTCCCCTATGGCACAACAGCAGCAGGTGGGGGCGCTCATGCTTGGTGCAGGCACTAGTGCCTGGAGCGGTGCAGCTCACTGTGGTGAGGGGTGCAGCCTCTGCTGGGCAGTCTGTCACCATCACTCCCTGCCACACATTCACAGCCCCCACGCTTGTACGTCACAGGAGAGAAGCCCCACACACTGGAGCTGGCTGCCTTCCTACCCGGGGCCGCACAGCACAGGAGGGAAGTCCCAGGCACCTTGTCCTGGGGGGTAGGGAAGGCAGCCAGGTCCAGCAGCTACACGACCCAACCCAGCAGGGAGCAGAGGAGCCACACATGGATCTCCTGGCTGCTGCTCCCTCCCCCACACCCTGGCTGCCCTGGCAATGAGCCTCCTGCCACTGCTTTGAGGGGCAGTTCTGTGCTGCTGCCCTCATTGCAGCCCTGCATGCAGGAGGTGCATCACGAGGGCAGCGCGGGGTGAGCAACAGCGGGGAGATCCCTGCGCGGCTCCTCTGCTGTTTGCTGGGCCAGGTCATGCCCACTTGGCGCAGCTGGAGACAGAGGAGCCACATGGGGATCTTGCCGCTGCTCTCACCCCGCTGTCCTGGCGATGCACCTCCTGTGTGTGCAGGCTGGAGGCGTGTCGCCAGGGCAACAGGGGCTGAGCAGCAACGGGATCCCTGTGCGACTCTACTGCTGTTTGCAGTGCTGGGTCACACCTGCTGGGCTAGGGAAGCCCTGGGGGAGAAAAGCCCAGCGGCGGGGAACAGCAATCTACGCACCACTGCCCAGGCACTCCTGCTGGAAACTGGTTGAGGGCTGAGGGAGCGGGGATGGGTTAGGAAAAGACCAGCTGGCGGCACGTGGACAGTGAGTGGTGCAGTATTGGCCCAAGTGGGCTCCGTGCCTCCATGTGTGGCTTCCCTGAAGGGCCAATACCGTGCCACTCTGGGTCCACGTGCTGCCAACCAGGTGCTCCATGTCTTTTCCCAACACTTCCCAACTCCCTCAGCCCCCAGCCAATTTCCTGCAACAAAGTGCCTGGCCAGCAGCATGTGGACGCGGAGCTGCGCGGTATTGGTCCTTCAGGGAAGCCGCACATAGAGGCACGGAGTCCGCTCGGGCCAATACCACACCACTCACAGCCCCCAGCCAGCTTCCCTGCCCCCCCCCCCAGCGCCACCGCTGCGCGCCACCCCCCCACTGCCAGCGCCCCACTTACCTCAGGCTCCCAGAAGGAAACTGAGCCTGATCCAAAGTGGGTGAGAGCCTTAGGCCCCACCCTTCCCCTTTTCCCTCCCCCTTCCCCTCTGGGCAGGATTTCCCACCCTTTCTGCAATTAGCTCTAGCAGGCTGGAACTCTGCCAGCCTGCAGAGCTCTTTGCAAAAGCGGGAAAACCCCAGGTTTCTCTGCTAAAGGTAAAATCTGTTTTTCTGATAAAAGCAGGAAATCTGTGGTTTTCTGTTTTTCTGTGGGAAACAGAAAACCCAGACCCCTGCTGATGATAAGCCTGAGGTTTTTTCCAGAAACCAGCCCCTTACTTAACTGGGGAAGCTCAGACAGTCTACTGGGCCCTACAAGCTCAGGCCACATGAAACTGTGATGCCCTCAAGGCTGTCATTTTAGATCACATGGGGCTCATGGAAGAGGCAGATGGGAAGAGCCTTTTAACTCAGACTGCTGGCCCCAAACAGCTGCCCAGTTTCTCAGACCTGTGCACCTGGCCACCAAAACTGGAGCTGATAATCCCAGAACAGTTTCAGCAGGTGTGGGCCCAGAAGTATGTTTGCCAAAATCAGGTTGCTAATCTTGAAGAGGCAGTCCATTTTGCTGAAAACTTTCTGGAAGCCAAGTGAGAGTGCAGAAAATACCCAGCTGTGTCAAGAGGATGGCTCCCATGTGGCACAAATTCAAAGTGGGGAGGACCTATAGCCTAAGGACCAGTGGCTAGAAATCCTACACTCAGTGTGGGAATCCCACCTAGATCTCCAACGACATAAGGGCAGGCTCCACAGTGTCAGGACCACTGGTTTGGGATTCAAAGAGGATCCCCTCCAGGAAGCAGTGCTAGGCTAAGGGAAAAAGGGAGCTCTCTGTGTGGACAGCCAGGCCACTGGTGCAGGAACTTCTCACAGATGGACTGTAGGTATACATAGTCTGGGCTCTCTGACCTCCAAACAGAGGCCTTGGAGCACAGAACCTATGTAATCCCCATGTAGGTAAGGGATATACAGGCCCTGAGCTTTGTAGGTGTGGCTCTACATCTCAAGTGCCAGGTACCACTAATAGCCCTGTCCATAGTTGGTAACCCTTTTGAATTGTTGTGGTAAACACAGTGGGGCTCTTGGAACCCAAGAACCAATAGGTGCTGCTTTATCTTGGTCCTGGTAGTTTAAGCAACTTGCTGGTTTAAGCAAAATTGATTTAAAAAAAAAATCTTAAATTCTCTGATTAAACCCCCCAAAATCCATGTTTTTCTGTAATTAAAACAATCTCTCTCCCCCTCCCCCCGAAAAACTGCTCTTCACCATGCTGCCTGGCTGCCGCATGCAATGTATGCGCATGGTGCCCCCTGCCTCAGATCACCCTCTTCCTACTCCTCCCAGCCCTAAGCAGCCCCTTGCAGGCTGGAATGCTACCAGCCTACAAGGGGAACCCACAGTTTCCCAGGTTTTTCTGCGTTAAATGGGAAAATCCATGATTTTCTCCTTTAAGGGGAAACAGATCCCTGCTGATAAGGGAGTGGATCAGAGGGAGCTTAGAAGCCCCAAAAAGATGTAGCAAGGCAGCAAACTGAGGGAACAGCTGCAAGCTAGAAGCAAACAGCGAGATGAACTACTGGCTGCATAAAGGGACTAAACTGCTGTGCTAGGAGCAGAGCTACATGGGTCTCCTCTCAGTGTCCAAGATAGGACAACAAAATTTTGTTTGCTTCTTTTGTTGGTTTAAAATATTATTTGTATGGACTGGCTGAGAAACTCCTCAGGGAGTAAAGCCCACCTGGAGAAGCCTGCAGGCGAGAAAACCTGCTTACACCTACACTTTAGGCCAACAATTTATCCTACCATACCTCAAGTGTAAGCACCCTGCAGCACTCCTGGGTTTATATGGCTATCCTGAACTACTGTCAGTATTGCCACTCTAGAGGAAAAACTGCAAAATCCAGTAAGAGACTTCATTCTTAATTCTCCACAAGCATTTCAGAGTATGAAGTGAAGTAGGAAAGATTAACTAGTGAGCAAAAAAACTAGGCTAATATTTAGAAGACCTGGATTCAAATCGCAGCTGTGCCATTCTTCCTGACACACCTTGAGTAACTCGCTGCAACAGCTAAACAAACATGTAAGCTAGGGTAACCAGCTAACAACATATTAGCTGCTTGGCAGGAACTGGCTGTGCACACACACTTACCCCAGGGTAAATTTAAGGTAGTCTGTCCCTCCAAAATTAGAACATCTGTAATGCACGTAGCACAGAGGGGAGATTCTGTACAATGGTAATTACTACAGAACAGCTACAACCAACATGCTGTTAATTCAAACACTCACTTACCTTGCAACAATTTATTTATGTAAGTATGCCACAAGTTTCTCATGCCTGTAAAATGGTAATACCCATCTCAGACACACTACTAGAATTAAATCTTTAATGCTTAAGAGATATTCAAATACTATAATAATGAAAAAACACACTTAAAGTTGTTCGACAGTGATGAAAAGACGTATGGTATTTCTAATGATAAGTGTCTATATGACTTGCTTGATCTAATCACAAAAGACATTATAGTGCAATTTAATTGCATAGTAATGAGTATTACCTGGATCAATACTCCTGGATTTTGACATACCAACCAACACCTTGTATTATGTAGGATATCACTCAGAGTTAGGTGCTACAGGCATTGCAACGTAACTGATTACCGTACTTCTGCCTTAAAAAAAAAACCTGTAAAATACTTCTCACATACTAAAAAGTTATTAAATTTGTTTCCTTAAATAAAACTCATTAAAAAAAAAAACTGTGTGTGACCTATGGCATTAGGAACATATACTTGTGAAAGCACTTTGCAAAGAAACAGCCTCCAGTTTGGGGCATGCAGGAAAGTTTAAATTAGTAACACTTGTATGTGCAGTATTGTCCCCCTACCCACAGGAGCACACTGCAAGTCAAATCTTGTGTGTTCAGTTGTCCAAACAGGACACCTATGAATAGTAAAATGAACCCAAACCTAGACAAATTAAATAATTTAAATATATTTATTTGATCTAACAAATTTACTATTCAATCCATGATTCAGAACTGATATACCAATCTAAAAAGAAGAGACAGACAGACACTTTCCAAGTTGGACTATTAACTTAAAATAAAAATAATAAGAAAAAAAAACACAAACAAGCATCTCTTTTCAGGGTGCCCCTTTCAGTACTATACTAACTCACTGTAATAAGCGTGCTACTTTAAGTAGCTATGGCAGTTAATAACTTGTTGCCAAAAAATTGTTCTAACTTTCCACAATATACATTCATAAAATTGCATAAAGTTACATGTTACCTTTCCAGGTATGAAGCAACAAAGATTGGAATCCACGTATTTCATGAAAGTCATATTTAACAGAGAAAGCCTAGTTTCTACAGCAGCAAGAATGTCTGCATGACGAGCTAAAGAATGGTTTCTTCTTTCTGACTCTCGTCTAAGAAGGAAGCAAAGAAAGCATTATACAACACTGGAGATGATTTAACAATTTTAAGCGATCAGAAATGAAACATACTCCAACAGATGGGCTTTAAATTCTCCTAAGTCACAATCCTATAGGCAGCACTGGTATGTCTTTCAGAGGTTCTGAGTCTTGAATTGCATGGCCATTAACCTACTGTGACTAGAAACAATGCAGCCACTTCCATTTGTTGAGTCTTTATCAAGAGATTGCTGCAGATGGCAAGAGTAAGCTGGGAACAGAAATGACATTGTTGGCTAAAATCTAAAATAATTTTTAGGTAAACCTATTAGTCAAATTTGGATTTCCTAACATCACTACTATGAAAGGTTTTCCTAAAGCTACACCGTACACACAGACAGCTTACAGACAAAAAAAACAACAAAAACAGTGTTTAATTTTAAACTCGGGGTACGCTGTGCCAAGCCCAGTACACACCCAGAAGAGGCATCACGTTAGCTGGAACTGACTTGCCTAACAGCTGTACAGACTGGCGGTTTCAGAGGGGCTTTTTTGATGCTTTGATCTAATAGCTGATAAAAGCACCATAAAGCCCTGCTGAAGCACCCAATCTACAGATGTGGAGCTGGGCTGAACTAATGCACTGGTTCTTCTGGTAAAGCACGATTTTTTTTTTCCATGTGTGTCAGCAGCCTTAAAGTAGGGCTGACAAACTATTAAAAAAATTAATCGCAATTAACTGCAAGATAAAAAAATAGTTGTAATTAATCACAATTTTGATTGCACCGTTAATAGTCAGTCACCACCCCTCCACCCAACAGCCTGGAGCCCATGCACCCTCCCCTGCCACCACCAAGAGCGCACAGCCCCAGCCCCAACCCTGGCTTGCCCTGCACCCACTCTAGACTTGCGCTGGCTGGAGAAGACCAGCCAAAACCCATGCATACAGCTCCAACCCCAGCCTGCTCCACGCCTGACTCCAAGCTTACCTGTTCATGCTGAGCGGCAGCGGCTGGGCAGAAGCTGCTGCTTGGTGCAGGGGAAAAGGCCCCCCCTTGGCTCTTGCTGCTCCCGGGCCCTTCTTTCTGCAGTCACCCAGAGCCCACGCGTGGGCTGCCCTGTGGCTCCTCTGCACTGCCAACGCTGCCTGGCTAAGTGATCTGGAGGCAGTGGTGACAGCAGCAGAGAGGTGCCACAGGGCAGCCCTGGAATGGGCTCTGGGCAGCTCCAGCAAAAAGGGCCCAGCAGCAACAACGGGGAGGGGCTGCTTTTCCCCTGCACCAAACAGCAGCTTCTGCCCAGCTGCTGCCACTGCTCAGCGTCAGCATGTAGTCCAGAGCAGGCATGGGGTGAGCCGGGGTGGGATCTGTGCATGCAGGTTCCAGCTGGTCCAGAACTGGTCCACCCTGCCAGGCCAAGTCCGGAGAGGGGGTGGGGTGGGCCGCATTTTGCCCACCCCGGTCAAAATGGAAGTGTGCAATTAATGCTCGTTACAAAAATCAATGCATGAATTTGTTTTGCGTTAATCGCGTACATTAACTGTGATTAACTGACAGCCCTTGTTTAAAGCATCTTAGTTTTTAAAAAACAAAATATTCTCAAGGTATTCATGTGCTCCATTATTGGCCAACTGCTACAATACGACTGTGCTATTGCTATTCATTTATGTTCTGGTGACTGACCTAAGAAATATCACTACTAATAAAAACTAGCATACATCTACGCTGTATCATAAAGGGTCATGTAAGTGGTCATTAGTAGTGTACCAGACACTGGAAATACAGTTTAGCTGCATTAGCACAGCACGTTGCCCAGGTTACCTGAAATAACCTTAAAGTAGTGCAAATTTAGTGCAGCAGTTTGCTCAGGCTAACACAGGTAGGCTGCTTCTGGTACCCCAGCTAGCTCGGGTATCTCTAGCTGGCACTGCAATGTAGAGCAGAGCTGTTCAGTCTCAAGCTTCAGTTGAGCTGAGAAAACCAGTGACTTTTTTTTTTTATGCAGTACCTGTAATATGAAGTCAATTTGAATTAGGACAATTAAGCTTGACTGCTTTATTACATTTCAGAAGGAAGAGGCTGCTGATCTCATTCACTTAGGGACAAATGATGTCCTCCAATGCTATTGCTCCAATTCCCCAGAAGTTATTAACACATACTGTATTTATGATGCAGTAGTTAAGTCCTCAGCTCAAGGAGATACAAAGATAAGTAAATATGCAAGTGAATCTTTGCCTTTCAGATTTTTTAAAATTTAAAACAGTTTTTAACATGGCCCTCATACTGCAGGTAGTTAGGAAGTCTTTTTAGTGCAGCTAGAGATAGGACTCCTTCTGAAACTAGCCACAGCTCCTAGACTTGCTAGAGGAGTTGCTTCTGAATACTGGACACTATTTCTCTGTTCAAGTATGAGGGGCATTGCCTCTGAGCACTCCAATTCCCAATAGGCTGTAAAGTAAAAGCCAGGATATAAAGACAATGCAGATGAATAGCTTTAGGGTTAAGCTAAATGGTTTTGCAGTAAGCTACAACATTTCAACAAATAAAAACAAACATTCCAAATAGTCAAAAGATTAAAAACATTTTAAATTTAACTGCCTAATTCAAGTTAAAGATTTAACGTTTTAGCTTTTACACAGAAAGAACTGTTCAGAAGAACACAGAATCTGAGATATAAAATTGCAGTTTGCACATACCTTGGAAGTTGTGCTTTAACCTGTTTCTGACACAAGTTGTGATATCTTTCCACTTTCAGAAATCCCTGATTTAACATTCGCTGGCAGACCAAGTCCATTCGCTTACAAACCTATATTAAAAAAGAAAAAACTTAAAACGTCTCAGACAAAACTCCTGGGTTTTTTTCCTCATGATTAGCCAGTTTGTTTGTTTGCTCAGTAGTGCAAGATTGTTTTTTATTCTTTCTACATTTCAAAACATCACTGAATTGGATTAAGCATTCATACAATTCTTTGCCTTCTGTTGATCCTTTGTTACAACAGCACCCTCACTTTCAAATCTATATCCCTTCCTTCGTCATTTCAAAATGTTAGCTGCAGTTCAATGGAAAGCCTCATGTGACATCCCTATTTAGTAACCTTGTCAAGATATTCCAAAGAGCTAGGACCTTCCACTCTCTTCTTTTGGAATATTCTTTTCTATAAAAAAGCTGAGACTTTTTTAATAAATTAAGGAAACAAGGGAATTCCCTCCTCCCCACACTTCCAAATTTCAAATTAATAGTATGCTCCAAATTTAAAACTAAGGAGAGTTCAAAGGGACACAGAAGCTAACCTTAGAGTAAGACTCTGTGGGAAAAATCACTTGCTTGAACAGGACACATTTTCATGGACAAGATGCCCCAACCTCATGGATCCTGGACGAAGGATGTCCAAGAACGCCCAGAGAGCGATTTCCAAATATGTGACTTAAAAAATCATGCTGTTACTAGTTAATCCCCAGTGGCCTTTCATAAAGGTCACTAGGCCAAATCTGCCATGCTCTAAGAAACCACAATTCCTACAGACTTCAACAGAAGTTACACTCACTCAGACCCTAGAGTGGTTCTGAATCTAAATACTTTGCTCTCTCAAAAATGGCAAAAAACACTACAAGCCACAAATTGAAATAAAAAGCATGATATACAGAGAGCAAGTTTTTGATTTACAACAGAGCCAGAATTAGAATTAAAGCAACTCTGGTATATACTCTAAAATAGCACCACTAAAGACTTCTCAAAGCATAAGAAAGATTCTTCTCCAGCAAAGTGTTTTCTTCCATTTATAATGGAGTTTGTAGTAAAGAATATTATGTCCTGTTACTTTGGATAGCAGTATCCTTGTTCATTTCAGCACATCTCTGGCAATAGGATGTGTTAACAGCAATTGGAGAGGCATTAGAACAAAGAGTATTAGTCTAGATCTTGGCACAAAATGTTAATTTACAACCCCCCCTCCCCCCAGACATCAATCACGAAAAAAATTCTAAATATACTTTTAAAAAAAAGTCTCTGTTCCTAAAATACCATTTAAAGTTAAAATTACATTCTAAGAGCTGCTACAACCTGGCTAGAAAGGACACTGAGCACACAATTCTAGGATTAACTGAATTTCCCATTACATTTCACCTTTAAGACTAGAAAATAATCAGACTTGACTTTGAATTCTCTGGTTTGTCGGTTTCTAAACTGCAATCGGTATTTCCTATGAATATGAACTAGCAAGTTAGCTTTAAGCACTACTTGTATAAATTTGTACTATTCACCTAAACTCTTATGCCCTATTCTATTTATCTTGGAACATTATACACCATATACCAGGCTGCATTCATCTCCTGGGGGACAGACTCAGGATTTTCAAATCAAAGTTTAAAGTATTTTCTGAACAGTATCCTATTAAAATATTTAACAGTCAATATGTATAGCCTTTGTGATATCCCACCCATCTACAGGCTTGAGAAAAAGGTTCTCTTCCAGACTGTCTGAAGGTTGCCAGTTAAAACAGTGGTGCTCAACCTTTCAACCCTGCTGCCATGTTTCAGGCCTCCTGCCATCCCAGCCTAACATCCAGCTCAAGCCTAGCACCACCCTAGCCCCACGTGCCTGAGTTAGCATGCAAGGCCACACCATCTGGTCTGCTGGGGTCCCCACAGATCCAAAAATTTAGCAGAATTGAAGGGTGGCAATTAATGCTGCTGCCACTCCCCTGCTGACAAATTTGCAGGGCTCCCTCTGGGTCTGAAGGCTGGATGACATGGCTGCAGGCTGGATCCAGCCCATGGGGTTGAGCATCTCTGAATTAAAAGAATGTATTGGTTAACTTATAAGACAATGACATGTAGGCTTAAAAAGCTAGCATTTGTTCTCCGTATGTTAACAGAATGGAAAAGAGTAAGTAGCAACCAACTATCAATTTGTCCATTAAAACTTAATCATGAATATGCACACATTTTAATTATTTTTAATACAGCTGCAGACAGTATAATGGATAACTGAATAAGAGTTAGAACAAGGTACACCTTCCCAGGTTGTCTATACATTAGTGCTTGCTGACAACTGAAGAAGATGCAAGGAACAGAAGTATTTCTGGTACATAACATGGAAAACCATCAACATACTAATTGAGTGGAAGGAAAACTGCACTATATCACCGGAGCCAGCTAAATAATCAGTTTCCGTTCCTTTACAATTTTCAGTTGGACCGAAACAAACATCACCCTTTAATTTTCAAGAGAATAAATGTTTAATTAACCATATTTGTTCAACAATCTCTCCAAAATCTAAGAGAGGAAGGGAGTCATCTATAGACTAATGCAATTATTAAAAGATTCAGTAGCTGAAAAAATAATTGTTTTAAGAGATGATGCAAACTTGTGTTACTATAAATGAAAAAAAAAAGCCTAGCACCAACCAGATTTGGGATAAACTCAACAATTGCAGGACTGACAAAATAGAAAATCTGAAACAGTTGTAAACAGAATCACTCAACCAATATTCATAATCAAGTTCATACTGACATCTAGTGGCAAACACTGTCAACAGTGTATTGAGATAATACCCAAGAGGTAGGCTTTAAAGGGCAATCCAAGCTGCACTAAGGATAGCTTTATTTAAAATAGCATGTTTACCAACATTACAGGGAGAGGGGGCAGGGGGTGGACACTTATTCCAGTACCTCTATGCAGAGAAAAATACAGGAACTTGAAAAACCAAAATAAGAGCTCAACTATCACAAGGCTGAATCTAAATGCTAATGGGATCATGAGTGCCAAGAGCAACTAAGAAAAAATGTGAGTCCAAGTACTAGTTGATACTGCTCATCCTCCTTCACCTGATTAACAAACAATTACTCTTATATCACATCTCAAAATCTTCTACTTAGTATTTTAAGATAGAAGCAGTGACTGGGCAGATAAGAATTTTTCATACTAACCCAATTAAGTAAAGAAATGTCATATCTAGCGAGAGTTATTAAAGTTCAGGCTGAAGCTTCTATTTTACATCCTAGGGCTCTATCTAGGAAGGATTTGCAATTTCAAACAGCTTTAACACATTTTGGTGTTTTGCTGCATCTACAAAGGCCAGCAGTAGCAAGCAAAATCATGTTAACCGGGCTTGAAATGGTCTGCACCACTCGTTCAAGAGTTTTCTGAGCACAGGAGACCTGAACAAAAACACGACAATTCCCTTCAGTTTAAAGAACAAAAATTTGCTATGATCACATTCACCAAGACTCACAAGAGACTTTTTCTTCTTCTATCCAAGACTAGGGAAAAAATCCAAGCCTACCTCAATGTGCTATGCACAAATAGTGCTTACAAAAGTTCTTCCAAACCTATGTGAAAATCTAAAGAAAACTGAAAAATTATATTATTCCTTCTAATTCTAAGGTCACCACATGAAGCAAAGGAAGATTTTATACAATTTATATCTTCACCTTATTTGCAGAACAGATGAACTCGTGACACAATCAGACAAAACTAGTAGCTTTTCCTTTGTAGATCATATCTTTCAATATTCACTAGAAGAATCTGCCCGGGAGCAATGTCATATGGAACGTAAAGCATGCAAAATATTTAGATACGATGCAGAGCCCAAACCCAAAATAACTGATCACTTTGGCACCACAGCCTGGAGTATGATTTTACTGTATTAGGCTTCCAGTAAGCTTGAGCCATGTTATTAAATATCATCAAGGTCTTGTTTTAAATAGCACAGAAGTAAAACTAACCACCATAGATTTACTAAAACTCTTTGTTCTGAAAAAGTGAAGGGTCTAGTGTCCAGCTCGTTCCATTTTTGCATGTTTGAATACACACACACACACACGAGTGTGTTGCACAATTTATAAAATATGGTATGTTTGTGAAGAGGGCCAAAATTCAAGACAACCTTGTATTCAGCAAGTGCGAGTAACATGGACATCAGGCCTGGATTACTTGAACCTAAATCACACTTGCTATGGCAGTTACTTGAACTGGACCTTATTTCCACACACAGCCATCTGAGTAATACATATATATTGCCATTCTTTTTAAACAGCATGTGTATATTCATCTTCCTATACCATACACTTGCATATAAATGTTTGCAAGCGGCAAGGGGGTGTAGGAAGTTGGATAACAAATGCCATTTTAAAAGAATGGCATAAAAATAGGGTTGTGCGAAGCTTCGGTCCCTGATTTGATTTGGCAGAGATTCAGCTTGATTCAGTGGCCAGATCTCTGAATCAGAATCGAATCAGAGGACCCTTTAATCTCTCCAAATCACATCGGAACCTTCCAAATCAATTCAGAGAGATTCAGAAAGATTTGTCGATTTGGACATAGACACAGCTTTAAATGTTTTTTCTACATACCTCTAGGTACCAGGCGGCTTGTGAATGCTGCGATGCTGGGGTACATAGAGCATCCCACAGGAGTGCGGGTGGCTCCCCAGTGCGCTCAGCAGCAGACCCAGAAGTGGACCAAAAGCACTTTTGGTCCAATTCTGGGTCAAGCAGGGGGCACGCTGGGGGGGAGGGGGGTGCCTCCCCCGTGCCCTGCTGGCTCAGCAACTGGTGCCTCCTGGGTCTGGGGGGGCACAAGGGGTCCCCCACATGCCCAATCGCCGAGCTGGGGAGGAATGGAGAGCCCCTTACATTCACATCACAGGAAACTCCCCCATTAAATACACCAGCTATCATTAAAGCAGCATGTGCTCAGTCTTGGAAGCCAACTATGAAGTTGAGGGAATGTAGCCCATGCTGAGCATGCCCAGAATACACATGCCCCATATTGGGCAAATGCATTGATGGAAGCCTTCCACAAGGC